ATCCACCGCTGGCTTCCCAGTGCTGCCGGAACAAGCCAAAACCCTTACCTTGCCTGCAGGGCCCTGCATGATCCAGGCCTCCCCCTGCCTCTGCCCAGCATCTCCCCACGACTCTAGGCTCCGGCCACACTCAGTTCCTTAATGCACATTTCTCCCTCCAGCTCCAGGACCATTATCCACACTGTCCTCTCTGCCTGGCACACTTCCCTCTCCTCTCCTGGCATTCATTCCTAGTAATCATGCAAGCTCCTCTCAAGCGTCACTTTCCCAGAGAAGCCTCTTCTGCTCTCAGTGCCCAGGTCAGATGCTCCTGGCCCAGCCCCCAGGCCCTTGCACCCCTTTCCTTCCCAGTGCTGTTTCAGCTGCAGGATTCTTCATTACCATGGCCTCCCACCACCACCACTGCAGGCTCCAGAGGGGCCAGGACCTTACCTGTTTGCTCTCAGTGCCTCGCACAAGGCCCGGCACATAGTAGGGGCTCAATTAATATTTATTGAACAAATAATAAATAAAGTAAGGTTTATGGCCACCATGGTCTGACTGGGTCATCCCTCAGGGGCTCCCCAGTGCTTTCAGAATAAACTCCTTAAGCTGATATACAAGACCTTTTGTGTTCTGGCCTCTGTCTACTTAATTTTTTCTCAAATGCACCCCATGTTTCAGGCACTGTGATCTGTTTAAGAGTCCCACTCACTCAAGCCTCAGTGCCTTTGCTCTGCCCTCTCTGTCCTCAGCATCTCCCAGGCCTTCATCACTTCATGAACCCCGCCCCCCCTTCAAGTCTCAACTCAGATATTTCCTCCTCTGGGAAGTCCTCCCTCACGCCAGGCGCTTCTCCCACATGCTCCATTGTTCCCTCAGCCTCCCTGAGCTCCATCTCCACTTGGCATGCTCTACTGTGACTACTTGCTCACTCTCTCTCTCTCCCTTAATAAGCTGTGAGCTTTGGGGAGAGAAATATGGGGTTTTAGTCATTTCTTTCCCCAGCCCTTACTCCATTGTCCAGGACAGTTAATGCCTAAGTAAATGTTAACTCTCTTTGCGCCTCTTCACTGCCCCTCCCATTCCTTTAAAACTGTGCCACACATAAAGCTGACAACTGGAAATGACCCAAACATCCATCAATGGACTATGTAAATTGTACATTATTCATAAATGAAATACGACATGGTAATGAAAAGAGTAAACTGTTACCGGCAACAGCATGATGAATCCACATGCAAAAGAAGCCAGACCCAGAAAATTACCTTCCATTTATATGAAGGTCAAAAACAGGCCAGCACGGTGGCTATCTCAAGGTCAGGGGGATTGAGTGGGATTGAGCCTGGCGGAGCCTCCCAGAGAGCTGGCAGTGAGGCTTACCTAGACCTGGGCGGTGATCACACAGACATGTGCCTGTGTAAATGTTAATCAAGCTGGATTTTTTGTGCACTTTAAAGTAGGTAACGTCACCTCTATTTTTTTAATGCTATAGTTTTTGCAATAAATCACCATGGATAACAAACTTCTCCTGTCTGAGAGTGATTTCCTACTACAGAGTCCCCTGATTTTAGGTACTAATACTGAAGCTCAGAGAGGGTAAACCACTCAGCTGGAGTCACCCAGCACATCTGTGGAGACTTCACACCCTAAGGAGAGGACTGCATGTCCTGCTTTTCCCATGCAGCTAAAGGTTTCTCAAGGGCAGGCTCTGTGTCTTTGTGTCTCTGGCACAGAGCTCTGTGACCTCCAAATATCAGGGGGCTACCTCCGGTTCATAACTGATCACTGCTGGGTTAGTGAAACTTGGCAGTTGTGTTGTTATTAAGAGCACAAACTCTAAAGGTACTATTCTGTAGCTGTGTTGTATTAACCTCTCTGTACCTCAGTTTCCTTATCTACAACATGGGGTAATAATAGTACCTTCTTCATAATGTTGTTCTGAGGGTTAGGTGAGTAACTGAGCATAAAGTACTTAGAACAGTGCCTGCCTCCAAGAAAGTGCCATGTAAGTGTTTGCTATAATAAATGCTATTAAGGGAAAACTCAGTCAGACAGACCAGACCAGAGTGAAATTCTGCTCCTCTGCTGGCTGTGTGACCTCAGGCAAATCAATTAACTTCTCTGAACCTTCACTTCCTTATCTATTAAACAAAGATAATAATAACTATCTATTGTTATTAAGGCAAAATAATGCATGCAAAGCACCTGACTAAGTCCTGGTAGGTAGGTAAGGAGCATTTCTTACAAATCCCTCTAATCAAACCCAGCACTGGGAGGAGCTCAGTTGCCTGGAAGAATTAATCCCTGCACCACGCTCCCTTCGCCAGCCCGGCATCCTCCTCCTAGTGCTAGCAGACAGCATCATCTAGCGGACATCTCTGGAACTGCATCTAGCCAAGCGCCACTGGCCACGCTGTGGTGCAGTGCTTTTAAGTAAGCCTTTTAAAACACGCACCCTGCATTGGACAAGTATTTGTTAGATGCCTGCGGCGACAGGACACGGATCCAGAACCAAAAGAAAATGAAGATATACAAGATGACTTAGAGGGGTGCAAGAAAAAAATTACAATGATCTTATCATCAATACCCTATATTTTTAAATCTTAAAGAAACTATAAATACCTATATAGAAGGACTTGGAACACTGGACAATATCTTCTCGGGAAGTTTTTACAATTTCAGGAGTGATTTTGAAGTGACCATTTTTGTGTCAATGACTCAGTTAAGGCCAAAGCAATGAAATGAAAACTTAGGTCAGAAAGGTGATCCCCCCGGCAGGGCAGCCTGACTTAGCTTGCTGGGTTCGCCATGGAGAGGGGAAGCGGCAGTGTTTGGCTCCAAAGCCCATAATCTTCTGCCACACTCCAATGCCCCTCCCGCAGAGTGGAGAGGTCTATAGAGTTCTTCATAAAAGAGTAAAGAGGGTCTAGAGGTGACATGACCATGTCCAACAGTGGAAATCAAAGAATACTTCATGGAAGAGATAGCATTTCAAGTGGGCTTGGAAAATGAAGATACAGAAAAGGGTAGATGGCTGGGAAGGAAGGGCATTCCACTGTAATCGACCACACGGTGTATAAAGTGAAATAACAGGTCTAGGCTGGACAGGAGAGTTAGGGTCAAAGCATAGAGGGCTCCAAATGACAGGTCAAGAAGGATGCATTTAATAAAATGAGGGGACCCACTGAGTAAGACGGTAATCTGATCTGAGGGAAGCAAGAGAAATCAAAGATACAGAAACTAGTTAGGTGGCAATAGTCCAGGCTAGACTCATGGGAGCTGCACTATGAAGGACAGCATACAGGATATACTGGCAAGAAATAAAATGACACCAAGAAGATGGTGAAGCAGGCGTTGGAGGGCTCCTCAAGGGCATCCTGGGCTATACTGAGGACCAAGTGGTCTTCTGCAACTTTAACAGTGACAGCCACTCTTCCACCTTCGATGCTGGGGCTGGCATAGACCTCAACGACCATTTTGTCACACTCATTTCTTGGTATGACAATGAATTTGGCTATAGCAACAGGGTGGTGGACCTTATGGTCCACATGGCCTCCAAGGAGTAAGAGCCCCCTGGACCATCAGCCCCAGAAAGAGAAGAGAGGCCCTCAGATACTGGGGAGTCCCCCAACACACTGAGAATCTCCTGACCTCCACAGTTTCCACCTCTGACCCCCTGAAGAAGGGGAGGGACTTAGGGAGCCCTACCTTGCAGTGCACCATCAATAAAGTACACTGTGCCCAGAGAGAGCAGGAGAGGGAGGGGGAGAGAGAGACAGTGAGAGGGAGCTCGAGCAGGAGGAGGTCCAGAAATAGATAGCAATGGGTCGAATGGGAGACCTGGGTGAGAATTCAAGGTGCTGAGTCTTGGGGAGGGAATGGGAAAAAAGGCAGAGCCATGACCAGAACGTAGACATGACCAGGGGGACTGATGTGGGCAGGGTGTGGAGACAATCAGCTCGTTCTTCATTAGGGAAAATATGAGTTGCCAGTGTCTACACAAAGATATGGGGCTCAGGAGAGGGGCTGGGCCGGAGGGTGGGGAGGCAGGGACAGTCATCTGGAAGTCACTTACCTATGAAGGTGCAAGCTACAGATTTGGGAGAAGACAAAAGGAATCACCTGGGGAGACTTGGGGGTGGAGGGTAGACACCCCCTGGACATCACTGGGCTCCCTGTTTTTAAAGCTTTCTGAGGACAGAGGAGGGAGAGGAGGCACAGAAAACAAGAAAGGAACCTGACAGAGAAGTAGGAGAGGTTGGTGAACATCCAGCAATGTCATCCATCACGGAGAGATCCGGGGGTCAGGACAGCAGGGAGGCAACCATTGGATCTGTGGTTGGGGGTGGTCATGAGTGACCCTGGAAAAAGTGGTTTCAGGGGGCAAAAGTCAAACCAGAAAGATTTAAGAGGCAAGAGGCAGAGGGTGTGAGGGCAGCTGAGGCGGCCAGGACAGGGGAGGTGATGGTGAGCAGAGCTGGATTAGCGTGAGGTCGGCCCCAAGGCCTTGTGGACAAAATTTAAGGAGGCACACACTCTCAGGGCTGTGCAGGTGGCCCTGGTGAAGAGGGGCAGACGCAGGCCCGAGAGCTGTGGAGAGATGGAGGCCCACGGAGAGAGAACCTCTGAGGCTACAGGAAAAGAAATAACCCGGCAAGAGAATTCAGAGACCCAGACAGAAGTGAAGACCCTCGATTTCCACATCCCGCAAAACACACCGTGGCCAGTAGCAGAGCCTGGAACCTGGGGGAACATGAAGGATGGGGGAGAGGCAGGCAATCTGGGAACGGGCTAGGGACACCCCACCTGGAGCAGCCAAGACACCAGGGAGGAAGGGAGAGCTTCCTTGGACCCTCCTGGGGACATTAAATTGAGCTTCCTTTCCCCTTTGGTGAGTGTTGGGGGAGGGGAGTCCCAGCACCTTCGGGGTCAGCCTGGGAAATGCAATGGGTCCAACTCTTCAGTTCAGGGAGGCTCGCGGCCCCAGCTCAGAGGCAGCACTCCATACCAACCCCAACATGTTCACCTCTTCCAGAAAGTATGGGCAAGTTCCTCCTTTCCGGAGCTGTTTCTGTAGTGGGCTGAATGGTGGCACCCAAAAGGTATGCCTGTCCTAACTCCCTTCCCTCCAGACCTGTGAGTGTGACCTTATTTGAAACAAGGGTCTTTGTCAATGTAATTAAATTAAGGTTGTCAAAATGACCTCAGGCTGGATTATCCAGGTGGGCCATAAATACAGTGACAAGTACCCTTATGAGACAGGAGAGGGGAAAGCCATGTGACGATGGAGACAGAGACTGGAGTGATGCAGCCACAACCCAAGAAATGCCTGGGCTCTCCCCAGAAGCTGGAGGAGGAGGGGAAGGAATCCTCCCTGAGAGCTGTCACAGAGACCATGGCCCTGCCAACAGCTTAATTTCAGACTTCTGGCCTCCAGAACTGTGAGAGTATAAATTTCTACTGTTCGAAGCCACCAAGTTTGTGGCAATTCGTTACGGCAGCCCTAGGAAACTAATATAATTCCCCACTCTATAAATTACTAGAAAGTTCCTAGCGATGCTTCCAGCCCTGAGATTCCCCAGATTAAACCTTTCAGCAAGGAGGGGAGTTCCAGGTCTGGTGAAAAGGTGCTCACAGCCCCACCCCCCTTCCAGGATGAGGCTTAATACTTTCACTTGAGGAGGGAAGACAAATTAAGGGCCCACCTCCCACTCCTCAGAGGAGAGTCCCAAGGAGTGTTTCATGACCCACCACCCCTTCCTTCTTCGCCCAAAGCTCATGCCATCCCGCCCAGGCTGGGCAAAGGGGCCAAAACTAACCCGGACCACATTACTAAAAGCAAGGAGCTTTATAAAACAGGACTTCTGCCTTTCTGAATTTGTCCTTGCAAACACCACCCCCTCTTCACAGCGGCTCTCTCCCCACCCGTCCCATCTTCCTTCTTCCTCTGCCTTCCGTAGTCTTGGGGGGCAAGATAAGAGGGATACCCCTGAAGCACAGGAATGGAAGGCACTCTCCCGCCCTTCTCCCTCTTCCCACGACACAGCTGGAGGGGGGAGGGGAGGTCAGCAGGGTTCATAAAGGCCAGATGTTGAGGAGAAAGAGAGCAGTG